TCGGACACGTACTTGCGATTTTGAGTTAACTGAAGAACATAATGAATGCATAAGATAGTACAATGCAGTTATCATTGAAGATGTTCGATTCCCCTAAAAGTCTGTTTCCATAGTAACCTATTTTGATATTGTTTATGAGTGGTGACGTAACACAACCGTTTCGTGCCAAATTCTTTGAAAAATGTGCTGTATTCTTCCTCAGGAATCTATTAATTAGATGTAAGACATCTAAATGGCTGTGTGTTCTACGTACATATCCGGAGATGTACCTAAATGCATATTGTATATTTATTCCGGTTCCAAACGTATTGGTTACCAGTAATCATGTCTAATAATAGACTACAACACTAATGTCTGTATTCCCATTGGTTGGATCATAACCACGTGTGTCCCTGATTCGTCGGTGAATATTACTTTCTCAGGGCTATATGGCCAAATATTCACCTCAACAAAAGGCCATAGCTGATAGATATCTGAGCCACAGGGAGATATAACGTATGGGATGTCGTCTTCAGATGACCTTAACTAATATTACAAGGACGTGAAACCCTACACAGGCAACAACAGAAAAGTGTGCGTGATATTTCAGATCGCGCGATGAAGTCAATACGTTTCCCACTATCACAAACATAGCAAACATGTTAATCTGAAGCACAGCTTTGGCAAGATTTTCTGCCAGAATCAACGTAACGTATCTAGTATACAATATAATGCTATCTATAAACTTACAGATAGAAGGCAAATAGACTGACAAATGAATTCCATGTTTTCCGGATATTTGCGCGGAATTCTTAAACCGTCCAGTAAGTAATTTGTAATTAAAGACGGTAATTTGATTTCCAGAGCGAGTGCTGGCCAACAAAAACCTTCCAACTATTTCAACCTTCAGTTCGGCAAAGAGATTTTAAAGTCTATATACAAATAACATAATCAATTCCATTCCCCTACTTTATCAAAATAAAAATATACTATGCATTTATGCGTAGTATCTCAGAAGACGACTCCTTAGAGTAACACGGATCAGAACTCTTCAAGTCTGGAGGAAGGTATACAGATAGCCCCGATATCACCCCACTGAAACACACATAAAAAACATGTCAGTTTCATGTTTATTGCCTCTCCGGTTTCGCTTACAACACGCTGGTGACGTCAGACACTTGTAATCGACAGGATCAGAGGATGTATATGTGTATTTCAATGTTCCGTTTTTCATTTACATGGTTCTAGATAGGATCTCTGTGCAGTGTTTTCAGGAGATTCAGCTTCGTATTAACTTTGCAATGAGTATTTTATAGAAGCTTCAAGATGCTATTCCTGTCTTAAAATAAGTTTTAAATTTGTGTGTGTTATGTTTAAACAACCTTAATGCGAAATTCCATACATACATTTGATTTTAATTGTAAGCACAAAAACAAAAATAACTTGATGTGTTTGTATTTAGATAAATTACCCAAAGATGGGAAACATGAAAGTATCGTTATAAATTTGGCTAGTTTAGTCAGGAATCGCAAGGGATCACAACGAACGGCAAATCATTTTAATAATTATAAAACAATATGCCGTGTTTTTTGCTGTATATGGTGCAAGATATTATAACTTGCATCTGCGGTCTATTGATAGCACTACTTGATATAGTTCTTGTGCTTGAATCCTTTCAGATAAGAGCTATTAATATATTTCATTTATTTACAGCAATCTAGAAACAGTTTTAGTTGTTTTTATATTAAAAATAATATGTTTTACAAAGAGAAGGACAGAAATTAATTCAACAGTGACTTACAGTGAAAGAGTGGTGAATTGAAAATGAGGCGATCTAGACACATGTACATATACGAATTCATCGGGGTTTCGTCAACATAAAAATGATCTTATATACATGTACTTGTTTTAAAAAAAAAGAATGTGATTTTGCCCCAATCAATGTACATAAAAAGAAAAAGAAAGATATTTTGAGTATAGATGATAGAAATATACTTAGATACAGAGAAATACACATACGCTTAGAAGCAGACATTACCAGAAGTAGCTAAGATATTCTGCTAACATGTTTTTGCAGTTAGCTGCCGTGTATAATGCCTAAAGAATTTATAAATAAGCCGCGACGGCTTGAAATGAGTTTAAACGAGATTAACACGGGCTGCTGAAGGTGCCACGCCCGGAAACATCATCAGAAGATAAGGGAAATGTGGAGGGGCAGACGGA